CTGGGCTAATAAACCAGTTGGTATACTTTGGATTCAACATGTGGAATGGTGACTTGTATACCATTTTGTGCTTGCTGTGTGTGTGTGTGTGTTTGTCTATATGTATACACCCCACACATATTGTGACACTCTGTATATACACACATACACAATATACGCATAGTGTGTTTGTAAGCCAAATTGCTATGGCTTGTGTAGTGCAATATGTCAAGATTAATACTATTTGCAGCATGTCAATTCACAAGTAAACTGGACTTCACTGTGACCCAGCCATCTTTTTGCTGGTTTCATGAAGAAGGTTCTATTCTGTGAATTCAGAGCAGAGAAGGGAGGGGGGACCTTTGGGATAAAATGTGATATTTTAAACATGATCTTCAACTTGTATAATAACACAAATTATGTTTCTGGAAACATGAGCACTCATAAGAAGACAGTTTGTTGTTTTTCTTTGAGTGTCACCCAAAAAATGAATTGCTTTGGTCCATTTCCAGTATTTAGCAGATACAGAGATTGCTTCCTTTCTTGCTGCAAAGACAACTATGGAAGCTTTTGGAACTTAGAAATATTGAGGCTGAGCAACTGTTTTGTACCATCATCATCATTAAACAAACTTAAGTTCTGATTTGCATACAGCTGTTAAAACAATGCAATCTGCTTGGGAAGACATTTGCTACAACTGCTGCTTTTCTCTTTGTCCTTTTCGGAGTCTCTGCATGAAACATGAACCATTTGTTACCCTAATTGGGCAGTGATAATCCAATCAGCATAAATATATGCAGCATAATTCAGCCACAATTGTTTTAATTGCTTATATTCTGTGGTGAGTCCTGCAACCTGTTTTGCCCAAGTTTAGTCCTACTTTGTGAACCAAGGCCCAATAACCAAAAGAGATTCCCATCCTCTTTTCAAAACTGTGCAGCATACACCCAAACTTTGTCCCAAAGAATTGGAGGATTAACTAATGAAGATAATTTATTCTTGCATAAGGATGTGGTGTTGGATATCGCTCATTATCTGAAACAGTGCAGTGTCAACAACAATTTTAAAAAGTGGGAGACTCTTAAGAACTCCTCTGTCCTATCCTTTTCAAAATGGCACAAATGCACACTTAGTATAAGTAAGTGGAATAATAAATGCAGGAATGAATTGAGACATATAAAGACTTTGCTGAGAGGAAGTGGAAAGCTTGAGAGCAGCTTTTAGAAAAAAATCAGCTGCTTCTTTTAGACGCTAACCCAATAGGAAATTTAAAGACAGAGAAATAAAAATACATCCTTAAGCCAATCTTCCACAATCTGTTGCCTCGCCTTACAGATATTTCGGTCCAATTCTTATACTTAATAGGTTTTTTTGTTTTTGTTTATTATGTTAACATTTCAGACTGTTTGTTTTTTCAAAAGATTAAAGTAATACATCTTGAAACTAGACAGTATGCAGCATTTTCTCTTCTAGATTTTAGTTATGATAGTTTAAGTTGCAGTGTATAAGAAATGTAAAAGGTTTAAACAGCCTTGGTTGCCCAGGGCTAAATAAGATCAGCGTTTTTAAGCTATAAAGATCAAAGTTCAAACTGTAGTTTGTGACTTTACACTCATATCACTTGTTTTCTGCTGACAACAGAACACAGCATACAAATAACATTTCTGCAGCTAAAAGATTCAGATTATTAAAATAGACTCAAGCAGCAAGGTTATTTTTTTATAATACCTTTTAAAATTTTGTTTTACTTAATGTGATTAAACATATAAAATCATGAGATTGTGAGTAGATCACAAGAAGTACAATAATGGTGCGTAAAATACATAAAGGTCTCAGTGAAAATAAAGAGAACATTCTTGTCAAGTATAACATTTGCACAGAATGTTTACGTAGCTACTTAACTCCAATGTTCAGATGATTTTTTAGGGTCTAAATAGTCTAGGCCAGTGATGGCTAACCTTTTTGTTATCGCGTGCAAAAGTGCATCCATAATGCAATGTGCACGTGACACACGCCCCCCCCCTGCACCCATCATTCCTGTGCATGCGCGTGTGACACCCTCCCCGTGCCCTGTTTTGGCCTCCCTGCAGCCTCCTGGGACCAAAAATGGGCCACTGGGGGATGCACCGCACACACACCCATGCTCCCCCCCCACCCCTGTGCAGGCGCACACAGCCCCCCCAGTCGCCCATGAAAGCTCACATGTCTCCCACATGTGCCTCGTGTATGCACTGCAGAGGCCCAAAAATCAGCTGGCTGGAGGGAAGTCTGAGTGCATTTGTGATAGAGCGACAGCTTGCATGCCCACAGAGAGGGCTCTGCATGCCACCTATGTCACACGTGCCGTAGGTTTGCCATCATGGGTCTAGGCCATTTTATCCCTTTTTTCTACAGTTCTCCATATTCTTGAAATTTAAAGCACTGTTGAGATCAAATGCCTTTACAGCCATTATATTATCTGCAGTAAAATTTGATAGTGGAGAACAATCTGTTACCCCAGAATCCTGTGCAATCCCTGAAAGTCTTATGTACAACTACTAGATCTCTAAAATGGTGTAATGTTTAATGTAATAGAAGAAGATGTGTTATAAAACCTTGAGTGGGAAGTGATTCTTTTTAGTTGCATATAAAAGGAAAGATTTTTGTAGGTAACCGCATCTAAGCTACTTGGCTTATCCCCCGCCAAAATTGATAGGGTTATATAGACCAGGAGAGAATAATTAAGCTATAGGCTAAACTGAAAATTGTATAAGAAGTGGCCATTGCAAAAGGCCTTCGTTTACTGCTTTGTATGGTTCTAGTACTAAAGTTTTTTATTTGTCCACCCCTTGTGATTCAAACAGCAAATAGCTTCTTTTCTTTTCCTTTTCTAATTTTTATTAAATAAGTTTTCAATAGAATAAAACCAGTACACATTTTGAATCGTAAAAAAGAATAGGGAAAAAGAAATAAAGCAAAAAACACAGAAAATAAATTGTAATTCTTTTGTGTTTTAAGTAGCAAATATTTTGCTTCTTTTCCAAGAAAATAATTTCAGCCAAAGGAAAAAAATATATGGCAGAAATAGTGGATTACCAATGGAGCAATTACTTAGTTTGTACTATTAATAGAGGCTAATAAGAGAAAGGAACTGTTTTGTGTTAATGAATGTAACATGCATGTATTTTCAGAACAGAATAACCAGTTGGAAGGGTCCTTGGGGGTCTTCTAGTCTAATTCAATGCCACTGCTCAAGGCATTGAGACTCCATACTATTTCAGACAAGTGATTATCTAATTTTCATTGTCCAATATTAGATAATGTTCATTATATGAATATGAATATATATTAATATAATGATATTTGCTTTCCTCAATTTCTATCTGGAAATTTGTCACCTTCCAGGAAATCAGAACTGGAAGGTGCTATTTTGTTAATAGCTGCCTGCATACGTGTATGCAAATCTATGAGTTGCATCCAGAACATCCAGGAAGAAGGCAATAATAATAAAGTATTACAGGTCGTCTTTGACTTACCAATCTCTTAACAAATGTTAAAAGTTACAATGAATTTGAAAAAAAGTTAGTTATCATCCATTCTTGAAGATATCATTGCTATACCACCCCAGCAGTCACAGTCACATGATCTCACTTCAGATGTTTGGCAACCAGCTCCCATTTGTGACTTTTTTTGTGTTTTCCATTGTTGAGCTGAATTCAGACTTATAACCATGTGGTTAACTCAACAGTGTGGTGTCTCATTTTGTAGAAACAATTTTAAAATTGTATCCGGTCACATGGTGACTAAACTTAGGACTACAACAACATACAGCCAAAATTTCAGGATCAATATGGTCATAAATCAAGGACTCCTGTACAATATTCTCAAACTTGTTCTGTGTATTAGTGCAGGGATCTCTAACCTCTGGGCTGTTTGCCCATTAGTGGGCCATGAGCTGTTTGCAACCAGGCCGCAGACATGGTGGGTGAGCAAATGCTCATCACCACTTCCATGAGCAAATGGAGCTGCATGCACAATTACCAGCCACTTGTGGGGAACTGTCCCCTCTCTCTCCTCTCTTCGCCAGTCTGCAGAACTGAAAAGATTGGGGAACTATGTACTAGTGTAAAAGTATTTCGCTGATAAGTATAATTTAATTGTACACTGCCAACAACACTAACTGTTGTTTTATATTTCTAATGCTATATTCTCTACCATATTGATAGCCATGAACATTTTCTTTCTGTGACCTTTAATACGTCTTCATCAACCTAATGCCCTTAAGATATGTTGGTGAGCATTAATCATCTAGCCAACTGGGAGTTGTAGTCCAGTAATATTTTGGGGTATTTGAGAAGGCCCACATATACTAATTATGCACACCCTGGCATATTTGAATTTATAGAAGAGCAGACCTCAATCTTCTGAAATTCAAGAACATTGAACAAACCATTTTGAAATACATTTTTCATTGAGAATAGGGGAAAAAATGGATGTATCCAAAATAACATTTTCACATTATCTATATATCAGATCAAAAGATAGAGATGTGGCTGTCTTGGTATAAATCTATTGATCTTACTAGAACCATAAATTTAGGTACCTAAATGGTATAGTTGGTAATGATTGAGAAAAACATTGAAAATTGTAAAGTAATAAGTAAATCTTAACATGCAGTGGAATCCATGGAATTTAATGTCCTTTGTTATAAACAGTCAACAATACTGATAACTAATAATAGAACAAAAAGTGACCAGTACAAATTGCCAGTTGTCTTACCATATGTGGTATTCAGTATTAAATAGAATTCAACATTAGAAAAAGAGGTCATTTTATACATTTTGAACCTAGAATGATCAGTTTTAATATTTTGCTAATGCATTGATTTTGGCTAGAGTCATGTGTGAGAGATAAATGGCCGTGTGAAACAAACATTATAGTTCGGATTTTCAAATTAACATACTTTCCTGTAACTGTCTATGAACTGGGAAATTATTGAGCCTATTTATTTCCTTATGCATTGTTTTAATCTTTTCTTCTAGGTCAACGTTCGAGTTACCACAATGGATGCAGAACTGGAGTTTGCCATCCAGCCTAACACTACAGGGAAGCAGCTGTTTGACCAGGTTAGTATAAGCATGCATGGAATTTAGAAAAAGAAAAAGAAATTGCAGGTGAGAATAAACTACCACTTATTCTGCTATCAGCTGCAGGTTCAATAAATGTGGTAGTTGACATTTCCCTTGCCATTCTATTTAACGTTAAGCTAGGTTTTTGACTTTTCATTATTGTATTTTCATAATGAGATTATTATCAGCTAACAAAAGTTGTCCCATGTCTTTTAATATATTTCTTATAGATAAAAAGACAATGAGCATTCATATCTTATCCTCCTTCCTATTCTGAAGCATTTCATTTTCCCAGGCTCATATCTTATAGCAATTTCTTATTCATTGTAAAGGTTCCTCTGAACACATAACACAGGTGTGTTATGACACATCTATTAGCCTGAATATAACTAATATTCTGTCACCATTTGCAGATCAGAACAAATTGAAATCTCTTAATAAGTTTTGTTCTCCTTATTACCTATCTTACATTAGCTATCTGATCATGTATCTGTCTGCCTTTTTGGAAACTTGTCTGTTTATTCCACATAAAACTTCATTATTCTTCACAGGATCTTAAGCAAAATGTTGTTTTATTTAAAAAAGATAGTACCATGGAGGTAGTTGTTGTTTGCTTTTGTTTCATCTCTTCTTCATTAGTATCTTTACCTTAGCTGTATATTTTCCTGTGATTTTTCCAAACCTCAAGTTATACTTTATTTTTTCTTTTATTCACTATATTGATATTTTTGATTGAAATAGAGGGATCTAGGAACCATATGCAGTCCACTGGTTGCCTATATTATCCTGCTATAAAATAATCTATTAGATTTTCTTTTCCCACCATTGGGGTGGGATGGCATTATTGGATGTTGAGTAAATCTGTTTGAAAATACTGAATTAAAATTCTGAGAAACAAATCCTAATGCACTTTCTTAGAATTCTAATTAGAATGACATAACAATGACATTAAATACTCAAGACTGATTATTGATGATGTTAGCCTTAATTAACTTTCAAATCTTTAACAGCAATTTGCAAGATGTTCAGTCTAGACTACTATCATGTTCTCTATTGAACAATTTTGCTGCTGTGCCCTTCCACTTTTCAGTTTCAGGAAAGCCAATTTGACCAATCGATTGCTTTTCTCAGTATATACTGGTATACTGTATATACTTTTATGTACACAAGTGTACACCCACAAATATTAGCAAAGTGTGTGTATGTGTATGTATATATGTATGTATGTATGTATGTATGTATACATACATACATACATACATACATATATATATATACATATACATATATATATACATATATATATACATATATACATACATATATACATACATATATACATACATA